GTACTCTAAAGAGTTTGGGTCATCTTGCGTTATAATTTGCTTGTATGTTGATGATATGCTGTTGTTGGTACTAACCTTGCTATTGTGAATGATGCCAAAGCTATGCTTTCTACTAAGTTTGAAATGAAAGACATGGGAGAAGCCGATGTTATTCTTGGAATTTGATTAAAGAAAACAGATAATGGTTTTTCCATGAGTCAATCTCACTATGTAGAAAAGATTTTAAAGAAGTTTGATTCTTTTGATGTTGTTCCTAGCAAGATACCTTATGATGTCAATGTCATATTAGCAAAGAACAAGGGTTCTTGTGTTTCTCAAGAGCTCTATACAAGGGTGATTGGTAGTGTCATGTTCTTGATGAATTGCACTCGACCCGACATTGCCTATGCGGTGAGTAGGCTTAGTAGATATACTCACAATCCAAGTGAAGATCATTGGGTTGCTCTTCGTCGGCTTCTAAGGTATCTCAAAGGTACCATGGAGGTATGCTTGCATTTTAATCGCTTTCCTAATGTTTTAGAAGACTGTTGTGATGCTAATTGGGTAACCGATAATGATGAGGTGGTTTCTACTAGTGGGTATATTGTTTTGGGTGGAGGAGCTATTTCATGGAAGTCCTCAAAACAACCATGTTTAGCTCGCTCCACCATGGAATCTGAATTCATTACTCTTGAGTTGGCAGGTCATGAAGCGGAGTGGCTTAGGAGCCTCCTAGCCGACATTCCATTGTGGGGGAAGTCTTCATCTCCGGTGTCCATACATTGTGATTCTCAAGCGGCCATTGGAGTTGCCAATAACAACTACAACAGCAAAAAGAGACATATGTGTATGAGACATAAAGTTGTGGCAATTTCTCAAAAATGGAGTCATTGCATTGGACTATGTAAGGTCCGAAAAGAAGTTGAAGAATCATCGAGGGGAATAGGACTTAAGGCCATGTGATGCATTACATTGTCCTAGTTCCTATAGTGATGGTGTTTGTAATGCATGTTGATTTGTGAGGTTGAGTTGTTTAAACTCTTAATGGGTCCTTGTGCTATTGAGACGCACTGTTAATGACTCACCTATGTGGTTGTGAAGACTAGCCATCTTCTATGAAAACTTGGCCGGTTTTCTAGAGCCTCCATTAGACCTAAGGTGAATATGCTTGGCTATAAAAGAGCATATCTCTTCGCGGAGTCTATGTAAATTTTGGAGTGATGTATGTGTTGTGAGGTTTTTGAGTTAATCTTGGAGTTTCAAGGTCAATCCACTCCATGATCAAGAGTCTAAGGGTACCCTTGTACTTGTAGCTCATTGCCTCATTTCACTAAGCACTAAGATTTCAAATTACTTATGTAATATTTAAGTGTTATGTATTAAACTCCTTTTATGCCCAATATGTTGCTCATTATTTCCTTATTGATTTTCCTTCCTTCCTTTAGTAAGGGATTGTTGGAGTAAAGGAAGAAATCCAAATAACTTGACCCGAGCGCCCGACCGGGCGCGAGAAAAGTAAAAAAATTCTAAGGTTCCGTCGCCTGGCCGGGTGAGCTTCGCCCGACCGGGCGAGTACCGCCTGACCGGGCGCAAGAGGACACTTGTAAAAACAAGCTAAGTGTTGTTCGCCCGACCGGGCGCGAGAGCAACTAATCTTTTGGCTGATGCTCGCCCGACCGGGCGCGAGATTCGGCTGTTGGGTTTCCCTCCTTGGATTCTCTTTCTTCTTCCTCTTCCATTTGTAACCCCTCACTTAAGAGGTGTTTTATGATGATTAAACAACTTTTAATTGCTGATTATTTTCCATCCTTTCACCTTCTTTTGATCTTTCATTTTCCCTCTTGCTTTTTTATATATTTTGAAGTCAGAATTTTTCTAAAAAATACTCTCATACATACACATGCTAAACACAAGAGCTAAACACATTTGAGCCAAACACATTTTTCCTTCTTTGGGCGTAAGTTTGCGTAGGCTCCACCTCTCATTCTAAAGTGCCTTAGCGTGAGAATGGTGTGTAACCTTAGGGAACGATCCGGTGAATACAATTGAGCACCCCGGTTGCACCGCAATTCGTTTTCAAAGGCAGTGATTATTCACGCCACACCGAATTTCCTTCTCTTATTTTGTTCTTGTTTTATTATTGCTTTGTTTTAGACACCTAATTTTAACAACAAATATAACAGAACAATCCTAATTTAAAGATATTTGAATCTAAAACAGGTAAAAACAAGGTGAGGAGAATAGAGCCTATTGCCTATTAATCATTAACGATGCTTAATAGTTACTACATATATACAAGACGTCAAGACTACAAGTTCCGTACATGGCTCGGTAGTATTGCATGTTGTGTGAAAGTGTGACTATATGTTCTGTGATGCTGATGGGAGGATCATCCGACTATAACTAAATTATTCCATATATAATTTGTTCCCAACTCAATCAAAGACGAAATCGTATTTGAACTTATATTATCTATTCAAAATTTGGAAAATGTGCATACCTACTTAAGAACTTGACATATTACAATATTCTCAGATAGATTTCAGCATTATTATTATTATTGTTATTATTGTTATTATTATTATTATTATAAATAACAAAAACCTACAAAGTCAAAAGATTTACAAGAAATTAGTGGGGAGCCGAGATACAATCTGGGCCCCCACCCCTCTAGCTATAGCGAACCCAATCCTGTTAAAGATGTGAGCAGCCGCACGAGCTCCAATATCCTGAGTCCTAGCGAACGCCTGAACCCGCTTCAGCAACGCAACGACATCCTTCTCTAATTCCCCCAATGAAGAAAAGGAGAAAGGAAGAAAACCATAGCCAATAGCCCTGCAACGCGCCCCATACTTGTCTCGCTTCCGCTGAGCCGCAATGTTTTTATTGTTATTATTGTTATTATTGTTGTTGTTGTTATTATTACTATTATTATTATTATTATTACTACTACTACTACTACTACTATTATTAGTTTTAATATTGTCATTAATATTATTATTATTATTATTATCGCATTATTATCATTAAACATTATTATTATTATTATTATTATTATTATTAATTTTATTATTATTATCGCATTATTATCATTAAATATTACTATTATTATTATTATTATTATTATTATTATTATTATTATTATATATCAAAAACAGACAAAGTCATACAACCCACACTAAATTAGTGGGAAGCCGAAATGCAATCCGGGCTCCCACTCCTCTAACTATAGCAAATCCTATCCTAGTGAAAATATTATTATTATTATTATTATTATTATTATTATTATTATATTTCAAAAATAGACAAAAGTCATACAACCTATAATAAATTAGTGGAAAGCCGAGATACAATCTGGGCCCCACACCTCTATCTGCAGCAAATCCTATCCTAGTGAAAATATTATTATTATTATTATTATTATTATTTTACTTTTTTTTATAACATTAGAAAATGTGTTAAATAATATAAAATATTAATTATTACCATTAAATAATAGTTATTATTATCAATTAATATTAAATATTAATTCATAGTATTATTATTATTATTATAAAATATTAATTATTATCATTATTAAATATTAATTATTATCTATAATATTAGTTATTATTAATAAATATTAATTATTTTTATTTTTATTTTTATTAAATAATAATAATAATTATTATTATAATAATTATTATTCTTATTATTATTATTATTATTATTATTATTAGTTTTAAGCAGGGCAGAGCAGAACAGAGCAGAGCAGAGCAGCTCTAAAGAACAGGGCCTAATCTAGAACTATAAATTTCATACCTTAATTATTAGAGTTAAATCTTTGTCTTATTCACACACTTTGGACTTCCACTTATCTTTTAGAATAATATATCTTTGATTATGTTGCAAAAAATTTGATTTAGTTTGGTTAATTATAAACTAAAACCAGAAGTTTTGCAAATTTACAACTTATGTCAAAGTTGGTGCCTAGTGCCTATTTTGAGACTAATCTTTCAAAGTACTGGATTTTTTTTGCCCTTCATTTGAAGGTAAACTGATGAGTGGAGGTAGAGGCTTATCAATTTTGTAGCTAAATAGACTGTAAGTACGGAGCACACCTCAAACTTCCACCAAAATGATATTTGCCTCTAGCTCATATCATATTCAATCGTACAGTACTTTTGTCAGTGGATATTTTGTAAGTACCGGCCAATTTCTATCAATACCGCACAGATTGCATGAAAAATGCACGACACGTTACATTATTCTATATTTCTCGCTTGGGTCATAGTTTTGTTGGAAATTAAAGCAAAACAAATAAGTGAAATTTGGCTAAAACATGACAATGACATGACACGATAGATATACGAGATAAATTGTAATTTGGTTAGTGTTTTGGGCTACGTGTCTATGTTTTAGTCAACCCCAAAGCCTATGAGATACAACACGACCAAAAGTCATCTATACACTACACCAATGTAGTTAATAATCTAAAACAAGCTCAAGGCGTAAGATTGCAAGAAAAAGCAAAAGAATATACTCTTAAAGTTCATCTAGAAATAATCTTTTATTTCATGAATTGCAAATAACAAACTATAAAGCCCAATATAGATTTACTAACCAATTCACCTTAAAACAAACTGTATGTAATATCTTATGTATATTCTCTATCACAATTTACAAACTATGGTTTGTTGAACTAATACTAATCGTATCACCAAGATTATTTTCCCATTGGAACACAACCAAGGCAAGGTCCATGCCAACTCTATCTCCCACACACCCTTCCGAGTAAGCCACGAGGTCCATGATCCAATCTAGTGACAATAAAAACCTTCTTGGATATGACATGCTAGTGATGTTACTTTATCGACCGATTGATTGACTTGGCCCTCTAAAACCAAAATTGCGGTGTTCAGGGATGTGTTCATCTATCTTAATTGCTTTTGGGAGGTACATTTATAGGTAAAAAGACCGAATTATAGAAGAAAAAACTATTGCATTGATACTTGTTCTAATGGAATGATCGACACAATTGCTTCTTCAAATAGTATGAATATATAGTATGAATAAATATAATATTTAGATCAAGGAATATGGAAAATTATACTACGTACCTAGCTAATGAGTGTGAAGTGAGTATAAATCACTTCTTCAAATCAGCATATGACAAACTAAGAAATAAAATTTTTATACATAACTTGGTCTTTAATTAACTACTTAATTAAGACATGATAAATGAGCAAAACTTTTGAAGTCTACAACTTTAACTCAAGTTGTTGTTGATCATACAAACTTTTCATTGAGTCAAATTTTTGGTAAGGTGCACTAGCGGCGACCCTGTGCTTCCTCTTCTCCATGAACCGGTGAAGGGAGACTCTCCTTGCCATAGGCAAATCGGACAAGTTACCCACTCCTTGAGTAACCACATCTTGTGCTAGCACATCGTTGATAGCACGAGGTGTTTGTGATTCGTTATGAGCTTGAGTCTGAGCTTGGGATCGAGGACCCATCATTCCATTGTTAGCTAGAGACACGATTTCTTGAGCCTTGTCCTCGGGCAAATCATTAAAAACAAGTACTCTTCCACCATAAAATATGGTCATGCTTGGTGTACTAGTAGAATTCTTAGGCTCCTCCTTTGAAATGGGCGAATCTCTGAACAAAAAAATATTTTATGGGGGTCAGCTTTGCTACAACATATATTAAATTCAATTATTGTTGGTCTAATTAAAATACTAAATCAAGCTGGGAATCAAATTAAGTTTAACAATAGAATATGCATGCACAAAAAGATCAAACAAAACTTTAGTAATATAAAAACCTTTGTGAAATTTACTACTTTTAAAAAGAAGTCGATCATCTAACTTATGGTTCACTTTTTTCTAAAGAATCACATTCATTTTGTGGTTGATAAATCAAATGACTGACTTTGGATCTAACTCATCATATTGATGTATATCATTTTCTTACATTAAATATAATTCATTTTATTCAAATGTTTTAGATCTAACAACAGGTATCTTTGAATAACAATAGCAATAACTTTAGTACATGATCATAATCATAATTAAAATTACCATATATAATTATTTGAACCATAAATACTATAAATAACAATGGTTTAAAGTAACTTCTATAAAATGGAGATTTCATCTTAATTACCTGGAATCAGCCATTATTTTGGTAGAGTTTTCAACACCATTAGCAGCGGTCAATGAATTCATCATAGGAAAGAGCTCCAAAGACATCTTCTCCTTTTCAATATTCTTTGGAAATACATTATTTGTGGCAGCATTTGGTACCTCTTTGGCTCCGGATCCTACAAATATAACAAAAATCTTAAAAACACGACCCATAAACAAAAACGCGTTTCTATAATCAATTCTTAGATGGACAATCAGAAGACCATATAGACCTAGGCCGGGGTTTAGGCCTGGCATTAATTTTGTGCTAGTTTACGTGTTTTAATCTGATTATAGGATGTACGATGTTATTAAAATGGTAAAGAGATAGAAAAAATACCTTTGACATCAAGGTCGGACGAAGCAAGAGTCTTAAAAGCATCAATATGACCAAAAGACCTCCTCTCTTTCAAAAACTGGCTAAAACGAGTGCATGTTTGTGTGAAATTAGACTTAACAATCTTCTCAGAACCCATAATTTCTTCTTCAAATTAAAGCTTGAATTATTGTTAGTGAAATAATAAGAAGCTCATTAATAAGCTAAGGTTTAAGATAATAATGGAAAGAAGGAAGAGAATAATAGGGGGAATGAATGAAGATATATATATATATATATTTAGTCTTGATGAGAGAGGGAATTTTTATAAAAAGAAAAAAAAGGTGATGATTAATTAAGAATAATTAATTACGTGATTAAGGGGGACAAGTAGGTGGAATTGTATACAACTCGTGTTAAGGGTGGGGCTAATAATAATGCTAGTTGGCTCTTTTCACTATGCACCTCAAAATCGATTGTTTTATTTCACGTGTTTATTGCTTGGGATCTAAGAATATGGTGTCGATTCATTTTTAATTATTCATTTAAGATAAGGTCGTTGGTGTATGCGGTTTGCCTACTTTATTGGAAACTTGTACACTATTACTATCTAATACTATACGTGCTACCTAGATTTTTTCTAAAAAATAACACTTCTTCTGCTTTTACCACGATGCCCTCATATTATTAATACTCCGTAATTATTATTATTCGAGTTAAGTATGAGCCTCGAATTAGTCATGTCAGCTCTCTTATGTAATCAAGATATAATTTATATCTGACATCTCTTATGTATTAATTAAGATCAATAATTATCATTACTCGAGTAAAAGCATGAGTCTTGAGTTAGTCATGTCGGACCTCTTACAACAAGAGATAACTTGCCTGTTATAGCAAAATTAGATATTTAACTGTAGAAGTAATATCTAGCATAATAAGTTAATTTAATTTAAGTTTATCAAAAGAAGTCAAGGAAAACGTATTCAAGCTATAAGTTTATTTTATTTTTATTTTTACCATCAATAGATTTCAATTTTATAAATAATATTATCATATTAATTATCCATCTATGACATGTTATATAATAGTGTATATGCATGCGATGCTTGCGTGTATTTTCTTTGCATTACTATAATCTATTTCGAAATTTATGATCTAATTGTATGTTTACACATCTACACTCGATTATCATATAATGATTTGGGTTAATAATCTCATCAATTAAAAGTTTCTTTCAAACAAACAAACAATTATTATGAGAAAAATAATTACGACCAAAATTTTCATTATTGTACTCCGTAACAAATAGGTCAAATACTATCAATAAACAATTACTACGAGAATCATGCCAACACTATTAGAAAACTGTAATAATTATATATTGGGTGGGGTAGTTTGGGAATTATTTAAGGTTACAAATTGGTTTGTGAAGTGGCAAAGCTCAAAGGGGTCTTAATCTACAGGTTTTGGACTATTCCTTTGGGGGATGGCGATGGCATGAGTTTCTTTAGACTTCGTCAAGCGTCAATTAATTAGGTCCGACATTGGATTCTTTGGATTTTCTTCGGAAATTTCTAATTAAGTTCCAACATTCATGTTTTTTTTGAAACCAAAAGACTTTACCTAGCTAATACAAATTCATGGCTTAATTAATTAAGATTTTCGCTTATACCGTTACGTAGACCTTTATCGATAATTTTAAAGATAGTATTCATTCCGTCCCTTATTTACATGTTTACTTTTTTTTTTGGGTTTTCAAAATTACATGTAAAGCTGGGCATGGGCCGGGGTTAGAAGCTTTTACCTTACAAGTTACAACTAAAACCTATTAATTTATCGTAGGAAATTGAAACAATTTTAAATAACACACTATGAAATGACCTTCTACATTGAAACATGTGTTAGACGACATACATTACTGTACAAGTATAATATTATAATTTTGATGAATATCTAAAATTTTTAAATTACCATTATTTTTTAGGAAAATTTGATTTTAATAATCCCACCTTTAACCGGTTCGCTACTAATAATCCCACCTTTGGGGGGTATTCTCTTCTAATGGTCCCTTATGACCGGTAACTTGTTGTTTGGGTAAGTTTTTTTTTTTTTTTAAAAAAAAAATAAAAAATTCCTTGGCCATTAGGAGGTAAGAAAAAAAAAATTCTTGGCCACCAGGAGGTAAGAAAAAATATTAATTTTTTTATTTTTGTTTTCAAAACGATAAGGAAGAAGGAAAGGGAGAAAAAAAATTACTTTTTAAAATTTTTTTTAAAAGAAATATAAAAAAATATTTTTTTTAAAAAAAAAATAAAAATAAAAAAATCCTGGCCACCAGGTGGTAAGGAAAAAAATTAATTTTTTTTATTTTGTTTTCAAACCGGTAAGGAAGAAGGAAAGGGAAAAAAAAAATTACTTTTTTAAATTTTTTTTTAAAAAGAAATATAAACAAATATATATATATTTTTTAAAAGAAATATAAGAGAATATATTTTTTTTTAAAAAAAAAAAAATTCCTTGGCCACCAGGAGGTAAGAAAAAAAAAATTATTTTTGTTTTCAAAACGATAAGGAAGAAGGAAAGGGAAAAAAAATTACCTTTTAAATTTTTTTTAAAAGAAATATAAAAAAATATTTCGACGAATCACAAAGTGACACGTGGCATATTAACCCATTACACCGATCACCAACAGGTTATGGACCATTAGAAGAGAATGCCCCATAAAGGTGGGATTATTAGATAATAATCAAAAGATGGGATTATTAGCAGCGAACCGGCCAAAGGTGGGATTATTAGAATCAAATTTTCCTATTTTTTATACATAATTCTTATTTATATTCATGTATAATAGCCAATTTTTTTTAGTATAGATTACAAAAATTGGTTTTACATAAACCGTGCATCGCACGAGTTTCTAAAAATAGGGAAATTCTCAACATATTGTTCACATGTTGATAAATAAAAAGTAAAGTAATAGGCTAAAACAACGATTGTGACAAGTTTAGTTGGACCGATTCAGCGAAGCAACGGTCATACATGCTCAATTATTGATTCAATTTTTCAAATAAAAAATATTAATGTTTGGGGGGTCTCTTTTTGGCGTATAATCTTTGATCACAAATAAAATACTTCGTAAATCTTGCTCCAGTTGTCACAATCAATATAAAATGTGAATGTCTCAAAATATCACATTTTTTTTGCTAACTTGTTTCCTTATCGTCGACTTGGTAAGTCGGCATAACAGAATTATTTTGTGTCAACTTGTTTCAAGTGGTTTTACACACTAGGAATTACTTGTATTTTGGTTCAACCTGTTTCAAGTGACTTTACGCTTCATGTTATGGTTAAGATTTTCGATTTGTAATATGATCAAAGTTCAAGCCTTGTGAATTTTACAAGATAGATATTTGACAGTGAGGGAAAAGCGGAAAACGTAAGAAGATCTCTAATTCTCTACCTTTTAACACTCTTATTTATTTGGTAGATTCGAATCCTAATCCTCTAAATTATGATGAGGACTCAATTAACTAAGTTAAACAAGCCTTGATTGGTTAACAAGGTAACAGGATAAGTTTTAAAATTATAATGAAGTTAAAATAATGCAAAATATCTCAAGTGTCCAATAAGATAAATTAGTTAGGGCCAAATAGGGTCTAGCTAGAGTTGTGTTTAAGGGGTTTTTAGAATCCCTCAGGATATAGATCTTCAATATGCTACTCACTTGGTTCGAGACGCCTGCAAAACAACGAATATTCCTTAATCGGAATATTCGCCTTCGACGATTAAGTTAATAATAAAAAACGGAGGGTTTTCAAAGAGAGAAAGGGAGAAGTTAGAGCAAATAGCAATTATAAATGCTTATGTCTCAATCCATCCCTCCCATCATCAATGATTAGGGTATTTATAGGGGTGGGGATGTGTGTCACTCTAGGGTTACGTACCCTAGAATGGTGGGCGCTGATTGGCTGCCTAATAAATGTTGGACATGTGTCCTTTGGGGGTGTCGTTATGACTTAGTGCTCGGAAATTGGGCTTTTGATGTGATTGTTGCCTTTTCGTCCCTCTCTCAAGCATTTTAGGTTGTCACGTGTCTTCTTCCTATTGGGCCACGTGTCGCCTTGGGACTAGACCAAGTGACGGGGTATTTTTACCTTAAATATGTAATACCCCGTATTTTGATACGTATTTTCTAATTAATTAATTATTTTATTATTATTTTCTAAAAAGGGTATTTTAGTAATTTATTTTACTATTTGAATTTTGGCGCCAAAAGTATTTTAAAACTTAATTAATATTTTGGATTTTGAATAAGATTTATTATCCATTTTTTTATTTTAAAAACCGGATTATTTATATATATTTCGGATATTTTAATTAAGCAAAAATTATATTTTAAGTCCTACTAATTGGCTATTAATTTCGGATTTTTCTAGTGTGGAAAATCTGATTTTCTTAGCTAAATTATTTAGTGAATAATTGGTAATCTCTTAATTAATTATTTTATACAATATACTACCTTCGTTCCTGAAAACTCGACTCACTTACTATTCATGTGGTGAAAATAAAATAACTTTGACCACATTTTATGATTTATACAATAAAAATAAATTAACAAGTTTGGTCTTATAAGATTCCCCTACTGATAATTTTTTTAAATATCAACTTTTAAGAAAATTTACTTATACTTAGCTGAAGTTATTAATGGTCAAAGATGTTCATTGGAGACCGTGCAAATGCAAAGTGAGTCGAACTTTCAGGAATGGAGGGAGTATATTATTTACACAATTATTTTAATCCCTTAAAACTAGCAAAATAATTCCCTAAATACTACATAAGGGGTTCGAAAATTTGAGCTATCACTAGTAGAAAACAGTTTATGGCAAGCGGTTCAAAACCCTAATGGGAAACGGTTTTGAACCGCTCGCGCTTGGGGGCTTCCCATTGCCATTTTAAATAAACCGCTTCCCATTTGAAGGGAATGAGAAGCGATTTAATGCCTGAACCGCTTCCCGTTATGGCTTTAAAAAATATTAAAAAAAAAATTATTTTTCACATAATTTGATACACAAAAATAAAACATATGTATAAAAATATATATTTCCATTAATAATTAGTTGTAATATTACATTTTAATTTTTTTTTAAAAAAATTAAAACTACCGAAGCCACCACCGCAACAGACAAACATTAAAAAAAAAAGATCAAAAAGTTTACTCATTATGCAAATAAATTTAAACAACAAATTCATTAACACATCAATAAATTTACAAACCCTAACCAAATTTCAACTCA